CCCCCCCACCCCAAACCAGAAAAAAAGGCAAATTACAAAGCATTGGCTTGAGGCCCAATCAAATAATTAGCTGAGTCGGCGGCCCTTAGATACTGAACTGGCCCAATTGAAACGATATTACTGCTGTCGTTTAATTTCGTTAGTATTCTGATTTTCCACAGAGAGCGTATGCAATCTTATCCTAGACCCTCAATGGCGCTCTACAGGTCCTGTGGCGTTCTCATTTCGAGCCCAGCACTCGCTCCCTCCAAAACACCAATCTCAACCATTCATCTTCAACGTTTCCCAACAATTTCCTCAAAGCCCATATTCAAAAACATCACCGCAAAGCCACTAAGAGCCACGAAGACACCCCAGAAGTACGCGTACCCTGACCCAATCCCCCAATTTGCAGAATCTGTAAGTACGTTTCAAAATCAGTGCACTTTCAAAAAAAAAAAAAAAAAGTCTGAAATTGAATGCATGTTTGTGTAATTCTTGACTTGTTTGTTGTGGCCTTGTGGTTGCAGGAGACCCAGAAGTTCAGGGCTGAGCTTTCCAGGAAGCTGTTGAAGGACAAGGAGACTTTTGGGGATGACCTCCATAGCGTCATAGACGTTTGTTCACAGGTATGTTTCTCTCCTTTCTTCCTATAAATGGTGAAGATGACAAAATTATAAAATGATGCTCTGTGTTTTCGCAAGTTCAGAGTTATAAGAATTATGAAGAATGAACAGATTACAAGCTAGCCCATCAAAAGTAATGGGCTTGGGCTTGTAGACATTTTTGTTTATTTTCCGACTTCCCAAGCTGATGTTTTGTTAAGGTGATGAGAACATTCAAGTTCTGCCTAAGAAGAAGGTACCATAATAAAGAGCTGGTGCAAGTGGGTTGTTCATGTTTGGTTTACATTTATTATTCTGAACTTGTGGTGACTCAGAATTGGTTGCCAATGTGACATGTGGTCCTAGCATTCATGGTATCTCTGTGTGTTGGATTTTATTTCTGACTCATTTATTTGCCTACCCTGGAAAAAACAGGTTTGAAAATACCATGTGAAGGGTGATTGATTCTATTGGCACCCAAAATGTTGTTCTACAAACCTTACTCACTTTTTAATTCCAAGTTCAAGCCATGGCCGGCTGGAGGGGGAAAGGGATATGAGAGATTTCCTTTTCAATTTTTTAACTAAACTACGGGTAGGGAGATTCTTACTTGGGTGCACATCGGCTCTAACCAACTTGGCTAAGCCCATATTTGCTTCCATTTTCAAAGTTTTAATTTCTTTTTTCCATTTATATTATAAAGATTAAGATTGAGGTTATAAAGTCATTGAAAGAATTAATAATTGGGGTCTCAGGGTGCAACTTTTTTGGTGCGAGCCACACTTATTTGAATCAGCAAAGATTTGTTTCCTTTCTTTTCTGTGGTGAGGTTTGAGTTTGCCCTGACCTGTAAACCGTACAATAATTGAGCCCCTAGACAAATATCAGACCTGACTCCATTGTACTATTTTCCAGACAGCTTCCATCAAAATGTTCTAACTTTCTGTGCACGTTTACCTTCACGCTGGCAATGTTTTGACTTATTACGACCTATATGCGGTGCATGAAGCTAAAATTAGATCTGCATAACTATTTGAACTATTCAGAATCAACTCATTTAACATGTTGGTTTAATCAAACCAGATATTCAGTGAGTTCTTGCTCAAGGAGTATGGAGGACCTGGGACATTATTGGTGGAGCCTTTCACTGATATGCTGGTTGCTCTCAAGGAGAAGGAATTACCAGGAGCACCTTTGGCAGCAAGGGCATCACTGTTATGGGCTCAAAGCTATTTAGATCAAGACTGGGAAATTTGGAACTCAAAATCACCAAACTGATGTTTCTTCATTTACAATCCACACAAGTCTGAATTTTTCATTTGGTGTTGTATTTCTCCAGATCATTTATATATTTATATCAAAAACAAAAAGTTGTAAAGACCCAAAACTCACACTTCTAATACAATGTCAGATTCATTGGTTTTTGTGTTGCTATACATGATGATGATGTCTTATTGCTTTGAACATGGGTTGAATTGGGGATCTGTGGTTGTGGTTGACATTGGATTAGAAAACTTGGTGCCCAAACTCCATGAATTTTTGGTTTTCAATCTATTTTTCCACGCTCCAGGATTGTGTGCACCTGGATATGATGAAACTGAAGGAGCCAGTCCATTTTACACTCACTCTACTGCCTACTCTGCATTTTGCTACTGAAACTTTGAACCATTGATCAGCTCACACCCTCAGAGATGCTCTGCAATGAGGGGCGCCAAGACTTTGACCTCAGTGCGGCAGCAGCAGCGGCAGCAGCAGCAGCAGCATTCGCCGTCCTGGGTCGGTGCCTTTCGCGTTTTGTTGCCTGAAATTTTTTGACATGGTGAAAGCATTAGTATTTCTGACTTATAACCAGTAGTTCAGAATCAAAGATTAAAAGTGTTGTTTTGGGTGATTGCGCTTGTTCAATTTCTCATCACAGATGAAGATGACCAAAAAGAAAGTACAGAAAACAAACTAAGATGACAATTGCTTTATGAAATGAAACGACATACATGGTTGATATTCTCCTTCTCAGACTTCCCTTCTTCTGCCTCATCACGACCTGAACTCTGTTTCTCTTGCCCTGCTTGCAACTTCTCAAGTGTTTCCAGCTGCTGCTTCTTTGTTTTTGCGTACTTCTTTGCCCTCAGCACCTTCACAACCTCTACAACCACAAACAAAAACCAAACATCAATTAAAGACTCTTCAAACCCAACAGCCTCATACTCCAAAATATATTTACACACAAAACAGAAGTATACCTTGAGTTGTGACCAGCCGATAGGCATGGCCAAGAGCAAGAGTTTCGTTGGGTCTAAGAAGCTTAACACGAGTGAAACGCACAGTCTTGTTGTGCTCCTGGCTCTCTACCTCTTCCTGATGTTGATCAGAAACCGGCAATGGAATGATCAAAGAAACATAGTGACCAGGGTTCAATCTCATCACCTCGCTTGCACTGATGGGCCAATACATCCTCTCTATCTTCCCACTTGGATGTTGTACCACCAGAGCTGCAGCATCAATAGCCTGACAGTTTCCCATCTATCTGAATCTCTCTCTCTCTCTCTCTCTCTCTCTAGAAACCAATGAAAGATGAAGAAGAAGTAGACGAAGGTAGAGATAAGGAAGAAGAAGAATGAATAGGAGAGGTGGAAGAAGCACAAGTCACTTTCTATACAGCTCCTCTCAGCCCAAACCCCACACCCAATGATTTAAGTAAAAATGGGTTAAGCTTAAAAGTGTCTAAAAATTCAAGCAAGGGCCGTCCTTCCCCAACTAACTCATGCTACGTGCATCAATTTAAACCAAATTGACATTAAAACATCATGTCTAAAATAAAAATCCCAATAGTACTAATGACTGTGAGATTAACCAAAGATAACAAGGACTATTATTAGTAATGTATTTATATATGACACATTGTCAATCACCGGCATGGGATTTGGAAGCGGGTTTGGTGCCACGTGGAGAGATGTCAGAAGGTAGTGATTTGGAAGGACATGCTCGGCGCTGTCGACGGGGTCAAGGTTTTCAGACTTGGGAAAAATCGAAGTTCCTAATTAATGTAAAAATGATTAAATTATGTGACCAACTATTTCTGACCAAAACGGCAAGACGGGCACAGCGTGCGTGCGTACGTGTGGTGAAGATTCTTTTGCTTTGATCAGACACCATGGACAACGACAACCTACCCCCTCATCTCATCACGATTCACACACACTTTGGTTCCTTTGCTAGGCTCTAGCTTTTTGTACTGTTTGGTTGATGAGAAAATGGTGGGAAAAAGACAAGTTCCAAATATGAATTAGCCAGTTCAATTCTCTAGTTTTTGAATTTATCTATGAGTATAGTATTGATAGTACTACTCATTGGAGATGGGAGCTAATATGCATATAAAGCAAAGCAACCCACTAATATGTCTTTTCTTTGTGTGGAATATTTAACACACCATGCACAACTTTTCGTACAAGCTTCAAGTCCAATGCAATGCAATTTGAGCAGGATCCAAGGGATATCTCAAAGTATTTAATTAGGATATTTCAGTGTTTTCAATCTAAATCTAATTATGTGTGTATTTCTTTCATCACGTTATCAGTGATATAAAATTTTCATCGAATCGGCTAGTTGCCATCCTTATTAATAAGTTTAGGGTTTCGCTATTCTTAAAAAAAGAATGAGAATTTAGGATGTGGACAAGCACATACAACAAAAACAATCGTTTTAATCCACTTATATATAACTCCTTTTTAAAAAAATAAAAATAAAAATTTAAGGACTGAGGTTGAGAATATCAATCTTACCCCCAAAAAAGAAAAAGTGAGAAAATCACTGAAGTGGACTGCCAGAGTCAATCTTGTATAAATTTTTGGGAGCAAACCCTGCTGACTCTTCAACATCTCTGGTCACACAGTCGATTTTCGAACCCCAGATTTTAGACAAGGTGAACATAAAAATTGACCAAATGAAGAATGAAAATCTTAACATTTTCTGTTCTATCTTAAAAAAATATTTATCATTGGATAATGAGCAAAAGCTTGACCAAGTTAAGAGAGAGGTGGAAATCTTGCTGACAATCTTTGACTACTGTAAATCTGGTTTAACTTAAACTAATTATATATATTATATATATCTGAGTTTAATTAAAAACCATCTAAACATGTAAACATCCCATGGTTAATGTCAGTGTGTGTAAGCCATGTGAGGTGTTGCAGATTTTTTGGCTCGCATATTTAATGAGAATGGACTATTTCTTGTTCAAACACCCAATAATTTTATATACACGAAACGGCCCTTATGGCATTGGTTGTGACAGTCATTAATATTTAATAAAATTATTATAAGCCTATCACTTTTATTAATATTAGGACAGCTTTAAATATAAGAAGTGGATGGGGATTCAATTTCAAATAATAATTGTTCATAGATTGCAGCCTGTGGGGGCGGCAAGATTAGGTCTTGAATGTCTGTTCCTTGCTTCCTCTGGCCTTTTAAACATTCTTGAAATCTAATTAAAACCTTTGCCAACAACCAATTGACTCTCTGAAAGGGTCTTGTTTAATTAGTGGGGTTGTTCTTATTGTTCTTTTCTTCTTGTTTTGGACACATGGTTTTCAATGTGTCTTTCTCCACATTCTTCCCCCCACCCCATAATACTAAACACAAACTATCCATTCTCTTCTTTTCTTTAAACAATGGAATGAATCAGATTGTCGAAGATCCCGACGACACAAGAGCAAAAATAAAATTTAGGAAACAAGAGGAAGCTGTTACTGATGTCACTTGCTGTTAATGATGTTCATGCATTAGTCTTGAAGATCTACTTCGGATTTAGGTTTCAGTACAACTGGTACAGAGGAACTAGATTAATGGTATTTTTAGGGCATGTTGGAATATAATAAACTCTGTGTGACTTGTGAGTGAGGCATATACAGTTCACATGGGGAACCATGTGAGTCTTATATAAGGACAGTTGAGATTTTAAGGACCACTGTGAGGTCTTTTTCTTACTGGGGAGCCCTTCAATTTAGAGGTCGAAAAAGATGGTCAGTGGTCACATTGCATATTTACTGCGTACGGTAAATGGAAACCAAACATTACAGTAAACTAGACTTGAAATTTGATCTTTTAGGCCAAACTAGCCTGTTGATCTGTTTGTAATTTTTGACAACAGTTTAGATTAAGAGGGAGGTTATTGTAATTTGTCCTGCTTTGAGAAGAGTCATCCAAGCCAACATGTATATATAAAACCTTAGAAGATGCTTCTTTTTATGCTAATCTTCTCTCTCTTAAAGCCAAATTTTAGTGCTTCTTTGTCATTGTTTCCCTAGGCTACTCTTCTAAGAACACATTATTGAAAAGCATGATATCATAATCAATAATCGTATATTCTTTATTTCAAATAAAGCATCTAATGGTTCTTAACTAGACATTGCAGCATCTCCATTGCACTACAGTTAGTGGAAGAACCCTTTTTTTTTTGTCTTTCTAAAATAAGGGTTTTATTTAATTCATAGTGGAAATAACTTTTAACAAGAAAAGATCATTAATCTTTTTTGAGTACAAGCGATAATCTAAACTAAAAGGGAGGGGGATTTCTTACACACAATTAAGATGTCATGGAGATTCGAACATGAGACCTCTTGTCTGCAGCCCTTTTCCTCTTGTTCGAACTTGAGATCATCAATCTTTAGCACTGAGGATGAGATTTTTGTTATAAAGGTGGTCATACATATCAAAACACTATCAAAGATGTAGCACTAATGTTAATTAGGCACCAGGCGCTTCACTAATATTTTAAGTTAAAGGGAAATCTCTTTTCTTCAGAGATTAAGCCTTTTTCTTTTGATATGTTAGAATCAGACTCAGGATATGATTTTGTATTATCATTTTGACAACTTTCTAAAATCATAATGGGTCAACAACAATGGTTGATCAGCTCGAGAAATTCTTGTAATAATATGTCTTAATTATTAACAGATTATAGAACTTCATATTCAACAGAAGAAAAGATTGAACAGTGATGATTGTTTAGCCAAAAAAACAAAAAAAAAAACTATCAAAATGTTTACTTTATTTTCTCTCTCAAAGAACATTAGATAATTGGCTCTAAACAAATTTATGTTTTCTGACTTATCAGGAACAGTCTTGCTGTATACATCTTTCTTTGATGTTTACCGGCAAATTCATGCATGATAAAAGTTATTTAACACTTTATAAAACTTTTACAATTTATGATTGCAATGGTTCCTTGGCATAATCTGCGCATCAGACAGAACAAATGGGACTTGAGAGTTGAATTATTGATTAGGCAGAAAGATACCCTCATCCATCCATGGCCTTGAAGAAATCTGAAATGGACACAAGCATTTGTGGTGGTCACCATGTCACCCCTATGATTCTTGGTTAAATCACATCAAAATTGGCCTGCTTTGGTTTTTGGAGACACATTAACAACATAATAGGCTAATTCCTTGCCTTAATAGTAACAGACTCCTTATCTGTTCCACCTAATAAATCTTGGTGGTGTTTTCTTTTTTCTTCTAATCTATGCTTTTTGAAGTAAATAGAGCAATTAGGGGGCCAAAACCTATTTTCTTTTGCTTTTACAAAATGGGCCTCTGTCTGTACCCAGCTGTGCTTTTTCTAGAAAGCTTAGAGCCCAAGATACAGCTGGGTTTTCTTAGTTCTTACACTACCTTGAGAAATGTGGCAAAAATATTGCTGTCAAAAACCACACACCATGGCTGGCTCATGAGAGAGCTGTTAGAGATAATAAAAGAAAGTGATCAAAGAGACTAGAGAAGAGAGGGGTTGTTGGTATGGCCAATGCAGCAATGCTGAAGGCCCCTCATCCTTATTTGCTGTGGTGTGTCCCTTTACCTTATTTGCTGCCTAACCTTCCCAAAATAAAGGTGGAAATGGAACCAATCCAGGACGGCTTGTCGTTTTTAAATTCTAGTTGTTGCCAATCTGAAGTTTCTGTGAGGTCCTAATTGTAAGGTGGTAGGAGCCATGTGGCTCAACAAATGAAGTTTCTCATGCACAATCCAGTCATGCAAATGCAGGAAAGTAAAACTCCCAGTGGGTATTTGGAGAAAGGGGACTTGCTAGAACAAAGATTTTTCGTTTATAGTACTATTGTGTTCTTCCTTGGAGTTAATAAAAAGATTAGGAGGAAACAAAACATTCATGTTCTCTAGTGTGTTGCACACATTTTTGAGATACTGTGCGACCATTTGACTCTGTTCACTGAAGCACCTCAATTTGACGATCACACCGAGGGGAAGAACTTGTTGAGGTTGAAAGGCAGGGAATAGAATTCCTCACTTCTTGCATCCGTCTTAAATGATCTGAATCTATCCCACCAATGCATGCCGCGATCTTTCCTCGTTGCACTGTCATTGCGATGCAGCGTGATGTCCAGGAATAGGCCTAGGAAACCGGCAACAAATGCTTCCGATGAGAAAGGAACATTCACCATATCATTGAACTGCAAAAACATAAGGAAAAAAGAGTGATTAAGTCTCTTGCATGAGACATGGGACTGAAACAAGAAAATATAATAGCGTTAAGAAGTTTAAAAGAGGATAGGAATGGTTTCATACCCATCTTGCGCCAGTGTGCACTGGGCCGTAGCCTTTAACAAGGGTGTATTCATTGAAGTATTGTGGTATTGACAAGCCCATGTAAATAGAGAAGCCTAAAATAAATTTCG